AGATCCGACTGCCTCTGCCTCCCGAGTGCTGGGATTAAAGGCGTGTGCCACCACTGCCCGGCACAAATAACATTTTAAAAAGTGATTGTTGGTTTTAGTGACATTTTTGCTTTGAAAATGGGTCTCAAGCTGGGTGGTGGTGGTGTACACCTTTAATGCCAGCACTCGAGAGGCAGAGGCAGGTGGATCTCTGTGAGTTTGAGACCAGCCTGATCTACAAGAGCTAGTTCCAGGTCAGGCTCCAGAGCTACACAGAGAAACCCTGTCTCGAATAAAAGAAAAAAAGAAAAGAAAGGAAGAAAAAGAAAATGGTTCTTCTGTAACCCATGCTGCCTTGAATTCATTATGTCCTGTTCTCTGCCTCCCAAATACTGGGACTGTGCACACAGGCCTCCTTGCTAGACCTTCCCCTCTCTATCTGATCAAAGGCCTACTTTGCTTACTGTATGTTATGCTGAGCACTGAAATTATGAGTTTGGGAAAATTAGTTTTGCTTATTCATAGGGCACCCAAACATGAGACAGAGTCCCCCACTCTCAAACCTGCCTTCCCTAGACAGGATGGCTTGACCTGTAGGGAAGGCAACTGGGGAAGAAGGACGTGAAATGACTTGTGTTCTGTACAGGGGTGATCAGACTTCCTGGATCACAGGATACCTGCTTAGAAACTTCCAAAGTTTTCCTGTTTCGTGGAGTTGGGTCCAAATTCAAAGGCCATCCACCAGACACTTGCACAGGCCTGGGAGAGGACTGGTGGTTTCAGCCAGTGTGAGTGGCTTCCAAGTTCCTGGAAAACAAAAACAAAACAAAAAAATGAGACAACTATTTCCATCACAACTGAGGTCAGAGCCTTACCCTTGCAGTAAACTGCTGGGAGTAGTAAACTGCTAAGCCAGGTAACCTCCCTTTAGAGCTGATGACAAGGCTCTATCCACTTTCCCGGGCCCAGCGCCTGCCTCCGTGCTGCCTACTCTGCCACTCTGAGTCCCATGCCCAATACTCATCCCAGACTTCTCCTCAAATGTCCTTTCTCCAGGTATCTCTGTGGCATATTCTCATGTCCCATTGGTACTTAGAAGTCACCAGAAGACAAATTCACCTAGACCTTACACTAAGTAGGTTTTTCTTATTTTTTGTGCTTGTTACTACTTTTTTTTAAACTGCCTAAGCTGGGTTCCTTCAGTAATCATGACAATTTCTGTTATTCCTTTTCTCCTTTCTACCTGCACTTTATAAAATTTATTTATTCTTATTTTATGTACATTGGTGTTCTGCCTGCATGTTTGTCTGTGTGAGGGGTCAGATCTTGGAGTTACAGACAGTTGTGAGCTGCCATGTGGGTGCCAGGAATTGAACCCAGATCCTCTGGGAGAGCAGTTAGTGCTCTTAACCCCTGAGCCATCTCTCCAGTCCCCCTCCCTCCCTCCCTCCCTTTTATATTATTTCTCAATGTGTATGTGCACTGTGCTTGTGCGTACCTAAGGAGGCCAGAAGAGGGTGTCAGATCCCCCAGAACTGGAGTTAGAGATGGTTGTGAGCCACTATGAGTGCTAGGAAACCCAACCTGGGTCTCTGGAAGAGCATCCAGTATCCAGTGCTCTTAACTGCTAGCCCACCTAGCCCCAATACCCTGCTCTGCCATTTCTTTTGATGCAGTCTCATGTAATCCAGGCTGGCTTTAAACTCCAATGCTCATGCTTCTGTCTGTAAGTACTAGACTACAGGTGTGTGCCCTTATACCCAACCTGTTGGTTCGTTTCTTTTTGTTTTTTAGTGCTGCTGTACTGTGCTGCAAAACTCAGTTACATGAAGAACAGGTGGGTCTCTGTGACCTCTAGGCCAGCCAGGGTGACAAAGTAAGACCCTGTGTCCTCTTTTTTTTTTTAATTTATTTTTTACATTCCAATTCCAGTTCCCCTTCTCTCCTCCTGTTCCCCCCACTTCACCCACCTCCCATCTGCTCTTTGGAGAGGGTAATATCTCCCCTAGGAAGTCTACTAAGTCTGTCCCATCATCTCATTGACACAGGACCAAGACACCTCTCCACTCCCCACATCCCTGTGTCTAGGCTGAGCAAGGTATCTCTCCATATAGAATGGGCTCCACTAAGTCAGTTTTTGTGCATTAGAGTTAGATCTTGGACCCACTGCCAGTAACCTCATATATTGTCAGCCGCACCATGGTTAGTTGTGGATTTCTGCATCTGCTTCTTTCTGTTTCTGGGAGAGGGTTCTAGCTTCTCTGGGGCTGTGGACTGTAGGCTGGGTATTCTTTGTTTTATGTCTGGTATCCACTTATGAGTGAGTACATACTATATGTGTCTTTCTGGTTTTGGGTTACCTCACTCAGGATATTTTTTTTTCTAGTTCTGTACATTTGCCTTTGAATTTTAGGATGTCATTGTTTCTTACCACTGACTAGTGCTCCGTTGTGTAAATATACATTTTCTTTATCCATTCTTCAGTTGAGGAGCATCTAGGTTGTTTCCAAGATCTGGCTATTAGAATAATGTTGTTATGAGCATAGTTGAGCAAATGTTCTTGTAGTGTGAATGTGCATCCTTTGAGTATACGCCCAAAAGTGGTACTGCAGGGTCTTTAGACCACTTCCTAAATAAAACACCAGTAGCACAGACACTAAGAACAATAATTAATAAATGGGACCTCCTGAAACTGAGAAGCTTCGTAAAGCAAAGAACATGGTCAACAAGACAAAATGGCTCCCTACAGAATGGGAAAAGATCTTCACCAACCCCACAACAGACTGAGGGCTGATCTCCAAAATATACAGAGAACTCAAGAAATTAGACATCAAACTACCAAATAATCCAATTAAAAAACGGGTACTGTAGGGGACAGTAAGCCACACCTGTTAGAGGCTGGTTACAGGTGTGCCTGACCACGCCTGTTACCAGCCTCTAACAGGCGTGGCTTACTGTCCCCTACAATTACTGTCCCCTACAGGGTACAGATCCAAACAGAATTCTCAGCAGAACAATCTCAAATGGCAATGGTGGAAAGACACTTAAGGAAATGCTCAACATCCTTAGTCATCAGAGAAATGTAAATTAAATCACTGAGATTCCATCTTACACCAATCAGAATGGCTAAGATCAAAAACACCAATGTCAACTTATACTGGAGAGGATGTAAAGAAAATGGAGCACTCCTCCATTGCTGGTGGGAGTGCAAACTTGCACAGCCTCTGTAGAAATCAGTATGGCAATTTCTAAGAAAATTAGGGATCAACCTGCCCCACTATTAAGTGTTTGTGGCTGGGTGGTGGTAGTGCATGCCATTGAGCCCAGCACTCAGGAGGCAGAGGCAGGCAGATCTTTGTGAGTACAAGGTCAGCCTGGCCTA